GAACATGGAGTTCCTAAAGTAAAAGTCATAAAGGAATTCCTGAGAAAGGAAACTTATTTGGTGGTGCTCAGCAAACCTAATCACAGAACAATAAAGGCCAGAGTGTAGAACTACAGGAGGGTCACACAACAATAGATACACTCTAAACAGGACGCGCACAAACTAAGAGAGTTTTTCCTTATCACATGATCACAGAGTTCATATCTGATATCGATCTGGTTCCTGGATCTTCACTTTTCACACGTGTCCACCACTTCCTCCCATGTGGCCACAGAGCGGATGGAACCACAAAAAAAACTGTCACCATGGAAACCCACTGCGTCTGAAACCAGCGGGCGAAATGTCCAAACAGACATATGAGACAAAACAAAAGAAACAACAAAAGAGTCATGAACAACATGATAAGCTGCTCCATCACCACTGCCTTTACTCTGTCCCAGACTTTGAACAAGTTTAGGATGGAACATCTCCATTAGTGTAACATGTATGATCCCCCACTGTCTACAGTGTCCACTCTGTCCCCTCATGTCCCTGTAGTGTCCACCCCTCATGTCCCTACAGTGTCCACTCTGTCCCCTCATGTCCCTGTAGTGTCCACCCCTCATGTCCCTATAGTGTCCACTCTGTCCCCTCATGTCCCTGTAGTGTCCACCCCTCATGTCCCTATAGTGTCCACTCATCCCTCATGTCCCTATAGTGTCCACCCCTCATGTCACTATAGTGTCCACCCCTCATGTCCCTATAGTGTCCACTGCATCCCCTCATGTCCTATGTGTCCACCCCTCATGTCTCTATAGTGTCCACCCCTCATGTCCCTATAGTGTCCACACCCTCAGTCCCTATAGTGTCCACTCTGTCCCCTCATGTCCCCTATAGTGTCCACTCTGTCCCCTCATGTCCCCTATAGTGTCCACTCTGTCCCCTCATGTCCCTATAGTGTCCACTGCATCGCCTCATGTCCCTATAGTGTCCACCCCTCATGTCCCTGTGGTGTCCACCCCTCATGTCACTATAGTGTCCACCCCTCATGTCCCTATAGTGTCCACTGCATCCCCTCATGTCCCTATAGTGTCCACCCCTCAGGTCCCTATAGTGTCCACCCCTCATGTCCCTATAATGTCCACTGTCCCCTCATGTTCCCTATAGTGTCCACTGTCCCCTCATGTTCCCTATAGTGTCCACCCCTCATGTCCCCTATAGTGTTCACCGTGTCCCCTCATGTCCCTGTAGTCTCACGTGTCTTACCTGGATGTGTTGTGTGTCAGGTCTGCTGCGGCGCTGGGATGACAGTCAGAGGTTCCTGTCGGAGCACCCTCATCTGGTGTGTGAGGAGACCGCCTCCGCTCTGGTGCACATCTGCATCAGCATGGAGCAGGAGCAGGTCAGTCACATGACCGTATGCACAGTCCCGTGACTCTGTGCACCGTCCCGTGACCCTGTGCACCGTCCCGTGACCCTGTGCACACATTTATATAAGAGTCCATGTTGTCCTGCTCTGTGTTCATAGAAACAGGCTCTGATGGGGCAGGTGGCTCACCAGGCCATCGTCATGAAATTCATCCTAGACTTGGCTGAGACGCTCCAGGTGGACCCCAGAGGCTGCTTCAGGCACTTCTTCTCCAGAATCAAGGTGCTCCTCACGCATGCATGAGATGATGGACTTTCCTTTATATTTGTTTGACTGGCTTCAGTACAAGATATGACTGTTGATTTGAGTAGGAAATCCGTTACGGTTGATCTTTCAGCAAATCTCTGGTTGAAGATGGGACCATATTAATCCTGACAGGCTGCTCTGAGGCACTGGAAGAAGGACAGTGAAATGCCAAGAACAATTTTCCACAAATAGACAATAAAGTCCACAATTACAAAACAAAAACACAATCTTTTAAAAGCTCTGCCTTTTGTACCACAACAGTCCAGTACAACATTGAGTATCATGCTCCATCCTCCAAGTCTACACCACCTCTGCCAGACTGATGTTTACCTGGGCTCTTCTCTTTCTCTCTTGTGAACTTCAGACTGCAGATCAGATGTATCTGGATGCCTTTGACAGAGAGGTGGAGCTACTGAAGCAGCGCGTGAGGAGCTGTGCCCAGAGTCAGAGAGAGGAGCAGAGGAGAGAGGAGGAGGAGGAGGAGGAGGAGGAGGAAGAGAGGAGGAAGAGGAGGAAGAGGAGGAGCAGAGAGCAAGGAGACTAGGACCTGGTGGACTGGACCCTCAGGAGGTCTACAGCTCCCTGCCACAGGTGCACAACTCACAATATATCAACATTCACAACTCAGGATTTGGAATTAGGACAAAAGCAGGAAGTCTTGTTGCTTTAGTTCTGATCATGTAATCAAATGTATTCATATGTAACTGTGCTGGTGTGTGTGTGCATCTGTGTGTGTGTGTGTGTGTGTGTGTGCGTCTGTGTGTAACTGTTCAGGAGATGCAGCGGGGTTTTGCAGAGAAGAACATGGAGCTGCTGCAGAGGGCCATGGACACTCTGCACCCTGAGGTGAGGACGTGCACCAGACACACAAACTCAACACACCCATAATAAAATAGATTTGCCCAGATTAACTGTTGAATGCCCATGCCTTAGGGGCCCTAAGTAAAATTTGCCCCTGGGGGCCTCACCACTTCAGTGTCACTCAGGCTTCACACTGATGATTCACACACACACTTTTACAAGTGAAAACAAAAGACGTTGTAAGAACTACAAACACCAAAAGTAGCAAAGCAGCTTTGAATCGGTGTGGGGGTCCTTGTTGTGGGGGTCTTTGGTGTGGGGGTCTTTGGTTTGGTGGGGGTCTTTGGTGTGGGGGTCCTTCTACAGTAGGGGTGGGCAAATATTATTTCCATGGGGCCACTTAAGAAACAGAAAATATTATGGAGGGCCGACCAAAAAGCTGCTCAGACTGTTAAGAGTTTGTGTTCTGACTAAGCAATGAGAAAGTGAAACTGCTGAAAAAAAAAGGAAGAACCCCCCCCCCAAAAAAAACAAACCAAAACAATGCAGCAGGCATGTTCATGCATGAGGTCAAATCATCAAATATGTTTATTTGTAATTCCAAATGAGCTTAAACGGACCAGTCACAGTAAACCAAAGGGCCGTATGTGGCCCTGGAGCAGGTCTGTTTCCTGTTTTCCTACAGAGTTTCCTTTTTTTTTTTTTTTTTTTTTGTATGCAAGATATTTTTGCTGTTTTCTGATGAATGTTCTTCACTTGGCTAAAGTGCAATGCAAAATATTTCATCATTTGCCATAAACTGTATTGTGTTTACAATGCACAATGTAAAGTGCCTCCTGCTGGCCCCAGGGCCCTAAGCAGATGGATCTGACATTAAATACAACTGCTAAATATATATATATATATATATATATATATATATATATATATAAATACAGGGGATGACACGTATGTGTATGTATGTATGTATGGATATATATGTTTGTATGTATGGGTATATGCATGGATATATGTGTATATGTAGGATGTGTGCGTATATACATGTATTATTGGGTTGTTTTTTGTTTGTTTGTTTGTTTATTTGTTTTACCTCCCTCTGTTCCCTAGATGTATTTACTTACTTTATTTACCTATCACTTTATCTGCATTAATGTATTATTATTATTTGTATGTATGTATGTATTATATTATTATTATTATTATTATTACTATTTATTTATTATTTTTTTCTGTGACATCTGCTTTATGTGCACAAAAAAGTAATAAAAAATAGAAAGAAAGAAAAGAAAGAAAGTAAAACTATCACGTTCTCTGCAGAGGAAACCCCCTTCCCTCTGGCCAGACTGGCGCCACCTAGTGCCTCTGCTCCGTTTCATTTCTCTCCAGTGACTACGTTTCTACGAAATGAAACTGGCTGATGAATCAGGCTCCCTCCCCCCACTCAAAGAAGGAATTCAAGTTCTTCTAAGTAACACCATCTCTAGAGAAGTGCACCTCTAACTCTGGAGTGGGACGCAAATTATAATATTTTTTTTATTTTTATTTATACAGCGCTTTTCAGGACAAACAAAGATGCTTTTCAGAACTTAAATTAAAGCAAATAATACAGTATACTATAGTGAATTGTCCAAACTTGCACATGTGTGAAAAATCAGAAAGATATCAGATTACTCACAGCAGATTGAACTGTATGACATTTCAATAATCGGATCACTCCAGAAATAATCAGATCTCAGATTTGTTCCAGTTCACGCGCTGTCATTTTGGAAACAGTCCTTTGCTGCCCTCTGCTGGCCAATTCTTGAACATAAGCGTAATATTGAAATAAATTTTTATGCTAATTCAGTTCTTTGTTTCACACATATTCATAACAGATTTTTAACAATCTGTATGTTTTTATAGGAGGCTAAGTACCACCTGAGGAGATGCATCGACTCTGGTCTGTGGGTCCCAGACTGTGGGGAGGACAAGGAGGAAGACGAAGAGGAGGACGAGGAGGAGGAGGAGCAGGAGGAGGAGCAGGAGGAGGAGCAGGAGGAGGGTGCTGAAAAAGAAGGATGCAAATGAAATGAAACCAATGAAACTTCCTCTTCGGACATAATGGACTTTAATGGTTAAAATGTCTTTACAAATGAGATACACAAATACACAATATAAAGAGTTTTGGAGGTTTTCTATCCCCAACACTCACTTAGTGTTAATGTCACACTTGTAACATTTCGATACTAAGGAACTGCTCCCATGATGAAGATAAAACAGGCTCTTTTTTAGTAATAGAATGTCATAGTCTGAGTCATATTTAATACAGACAGAGTTGTGTGTGTACAGTCAGTTCTAGTCACCAGTAGAAATGATCAGGTTCAACATTTGTCAGTTTACCTTTTGGAGATTTCAGGCAGTATGACATCCTCACATTCTAGAACAGGGGTCACCAAACTTTTTTCTCTGGGGGCCACATTATGGCTCCTGACTGTGATGGGGGCCGGGGTCGGGTCAGCTGTTTAACAGAATTATATGATCCTGACGACGCAGATTTTTTTTTTTTTTTAAAAAACGCACTTTCTTTACACACCAGACAAACTGCACACTCCTCACACTGAACACAAAAACAATCAGTCGTTTACTGATCTTGGACAAACTCTGCTCTCTGTCAACTGTTTGTACTTTAACACCAGTCATTTAGCTGTCCTTAACTGTACTACAGTACTCTGTACTACAGTACTCTGCACTACAATACTCTGCACTACAGTACTCTGTACTACAGTACTCTGCACTACAGTACTCTGCACTACAGTACTCTGTACTACAGTACTCTGCACTACAGTACTCTGCACTACAGTACTCTGCACTACAGTACTCTGTGCGTGTCTTGACTGTCACTGTTTGATCTTGAGTTTGTCAGGTGACGAAAATTCAGTGGCAAATATAAATACATCATATAATTATTTAAATATAAATATATCATATAAATATATTTTTTTTAATTGAAAAAAGGTCAACAAAATCAACAAAATACAAGATGCAGATGTGTTATTATTTGCCAAAAAGTAATACAAAAATAAAATAAAGAATTGCCTCATAGTGTCAGTTTAAGTGGTGGGCTGGGGGCAGGTCAAAGGGGCGTGGTGGGCCGAAGTCAGCCCGCGAGCCTTAGTTTGATGACCCCTGATCTAGAATCTGAAAACGTCCAACAGACTCCAATAAACTTTCTTTACGTTACTGTGAGGTCTTCTAGTAGTTGTGATAAACTGTTCAGGAAAAATCTTGTGAATGTGAGATTTTCTTGATATTAGTTTTAGTTTTGATTTGTTTTTAATGTTCGAATCTTTTTGTCAAAAGTATCAAAAATCAGATACACACTCTACTCTGTTCTACTCAGCCCCACTCAGCACTACGTGACCTGGTTGTGTTTCCATTATTCTTCGGAATCTGGCCCTGTATCCATGGAAACTCCCCACAATCAACCAATCCATGGAAGCTCAATCATCTGCTCTGTCAGTCTTGGCCTGGTTAGAACCCAGACGATACCTGGGTATACCTGAACTAGTGAAAAGCTCTAAACTGAGGAGGGCCAAGTAGGCTGGTGCAAATGGCTGGAATGTTTCACAGTATGGCATTAAACTTATCTGTTTTCATGGGGATAGGTGGTTTCTTTCCACTACAGATGGGTGAATGCTTGTAAGAATGCAGGTTTTTAAGATATTTTTTGCACAAAAATTCCTGTAATTGTATAAATGTTGAATGCATCTGTGGAACATTTCAGACAAAGAAACGTACATCTCCATGGAGACAGGCAGGAGTCATATCTCACACCAGTGTCATAGTTTATAGTGTCCCCTGCGGTGACCAGGAGCACACGGTAAAAGTGGTTTAGTGTTGTAACGTGTGTGTGTCACATCAAACTGAAAGTGTTGTGTTCTGTGATCTTTAGGTGTGTTGCTCATGAACTCAACATCTTTACAAATAAAACTGACAAATGCACTCACCTTCTGCTTTCATTTAAAGGAAGTAAGATTATTTATTGCTTTTTGACTTAAACAAAAAAAATAAAAAAAAAATAATAATAATAATAATAATAATAATACAACAACAACAAAATAATAAAAACAATACAAACACTGGGCTGAAGTCTCACATCTGGTATACAACAAAAAAAGGTTCTTAAAAATATTGTCCTTATGATGAAGCCTACACATCAGGTAATCGAGAGAAACAAAACCAAAAACCATCCTGTGCTGCTGAGCTTTAGAGGGAGTCTGTATTTGTCCTTCACAACAAGGTCAGTGTTTGTATTTCTTGTCTAATCGTTTGCCAGAATTGTTGCACTTTTGGACAAAACCATAAACCATAAAGTGAGAGCACCAGTCTCACTCTTCACTTCACACACAAAGACCAAGAGCTCAGTTTAAAAGTCTTGTGGAGATATGAGCTCTGTGGACAATCAGAAGCTCAGTTACTTTAACCCTGCTGCAAACACAGTGTTTTCACATTACTGCAAATGTTTTTCACTCATCATCAGTGATTGTCCAGTCAAGTTCACTCTCCCAGGGTCCTTTCAAGGTGAGATGTGTCTATAGTAGAATACCTCTGAAACATACTGTAGAATATTTTAAAAGAAGCAGTTGAGTTTGTGTGGAAGATCTGTCTTTCCCTGTCTGATATTTCTCCAAACACTACATGTGCACTATCTTTCCTAACAAACCCCTCACCTGTCCATATTGGTAAAAGTCTTTCCTTGGAACATCATATTTCTCAGTCAGCTGGTTGAATGACAGTAGGTTGCACCCCTCTAAGAAATCTTACAAATTGGATAGGCCTTTTTGTATCCAAATCTGAAACCTCTTATCATTTATCCCATGTAAAAAGTCAGGATTATTAATTATATAAACACAGTCCTCTGCTTCCTCCTGGCTCGTGCAGCTCTGTCTCTTCATCCCTCTCTCCCTCTGCTTCTCTGTCCAAATCACCTCTGCTAGTAGAAAGAACCAGCAGCTCCACAGGCACTGACTCCTGCAGTACTGTCAATAGCGCCCTCTGTTGGACATCCTGAGAAGTGCTCTGGCCTGCGCACAACCGCCTCAGATCAGCTCTTGTCTGAATATAGTTTTATTGTTTGACTCCGTTAAGAAAAGTGAAATGAAAAAGCAGAAGATGAAGATGGAGCTTTGTGAAGGAGACTGAGAGCGTTTTATTGTAGTGCTGAAAACCTGTACTTCCCTCTCCCCAGACACTTCAGACACCACCAGCCCGATGTGATGAAGCCAAAGAAACATAAGAGACATGGACACACGTGTGTGAGTGGTGATGTCGGAGAGGCCTTTGGCGCATACTAGTGTCCATGTTTGTGATAGTCTGCCCCAGGGCAGCTGCTGTTAAGCACCTCACCTCCACACCATGACGAGTGAATCTATTGTACTAAAACAGCTTTGGAAACTTGTCCAGCCAGAGCAATTCATTGCTTTAACTCTAAAACACTGGGGATAGGACAGGCGTCTTGCTCAAGGGCATAAAAACACTATGCTCATTTGGAAGCTTAGATCGAACCGTGGACCCTTGGAGAGCTTCGACACTTCAGAGACGGTCCTACCAGACCGAGAGCGAGTGCGGTGTGAGGAGTCGTTCCAAATGTGTCCTTGAATGGCAGAGAGGACACGCGCATCACGGACTGACACACGCACACGTGCACCGGAGCCACCGGGCTTCTCCACGGCTCCAGTGAGACGGGGGCGGCCGGGGGAGACCACTGTGGCGCGGGGGAGCGGAGCACACAGGCGGGAGCAGGGTACGGGACTGGAGCCTCGTGAAGACGCAGTGTGTGAGCCCCGTGTGCGCGCACGGTGCTTGCAGTCACGGTCTGCGCTGGGACCGGAGCCGAGCGGAGCCGAGAGCAAACGGACACCGAGAGGACGGCGGCCCACCCGGTCCTCCTGAAGGTGAGTGCGCTCCCGTCATCCGTCTGATCCGAGACCGAGGCCACGGTCGCTCCTCGGTCGCTCCACGGACGCTCCGTACGGCTCCGCACGGCTCTGCACGGCTCTCCGTGGCTCAGACAGGTTGCAGCGGGCGCTTCTCTGCAGGTGTCCCCGCACGATGAGTCTGATCCGCGGGGAGATGCGAGTCCCCGAGCCCCGTGTCTGGTTGATTTGAGCCCGTAGGAGAGAGGCTGAGTGGGGAAGGAGCGTGTGCAGCAGCGGAGGCGTGAGGATCATTGTCCGGGGCCGGAGCGGAAAGGCCAGGACGGGCTCACTGAACAGGACGTCCACAGGTTACGCATGTTTAACGCTGGAGACACGAGCATCGGGGGGAGCTATAGATAGGTGTTATGAGCCTATGCATAATTGACGTGAGCATCAGGCTCATCAAACGTGTCTGGACTCAGCAGCATCACAACAGCTATTCACTGGCCTCGCGCTGAAAGCCTCATCCAGTCTGACCGGAGCTTCATGTGGAGCTTCGTGTGGAGCTTCGTGTGGAGCTTCGTGTGGAGCTTCATGTGGAGCTTCATGTGGAGCTTCATGTGGAGCTTCATGTGGAGTTTCATGTGGAGCTTCATGTGGAGCTTCATGTGGAGCTTCATGTGGAGCTTCATGTGGAGCTTTCATGTGGAGCTTCATGTGGAGCTTCATGTGGAGCTTCATGTGGAGTTCATGTGGAGCTTCATGTGGAGCTTCATGTGGAGCTTCATGTTCATGTGGAGCTTCATGTGGAGCTTCTTCATGTGGAGCTTCATGTGGAGTTTCATGTGGAGCTTCATGTGGAGCTTCATGTGGAGCATGTGGAGTTTCATGTGGAGCTTCATGTGTTTCATGTGGAGCTTGTGGAGCTTCATGTGGAGCTTCATGTGGAGTTTCATGTGGAGCTTCATGTGGAGCTTCATGTGGAGCTTCATGTGGAGCTTCATGTGGAGTTTCATGTGGAGCTTCATGTGGAGTTTCATGTGGAGCTTCATGTGGAGCTTCATGTGGAGTTTCATGTGGAGCTTCATGTGGAGCTTCATGTGGAGTTTCATGTGGAGCTGTGGATGTGGAGTTCATGTGAGTTCATGTGGAGCAGTGAGCATGTGGAGTTTCATGTGGAGTTTCATGTGAGCTTCATGTGGAGGTTCATGTGGAGGTTCATGTGGAGCTTCATGTGGAGCTTCATGTGGAGCTTCATGTGGAGTTTCATGTGGAGCTTCATGTGGAGTTTCATGTGGAGCTTCATGTGGAGCTCGGCCCGTGAGCGCAGGGTGATGGAGCAGATCCACCGGCCTATGTGAAGGTTCTAATCCGGTTTTAAACAAAGCATTTTAGTGTGAGTGAGAAAGAGCTTTGGCTGTAAAACACAGAGGAACATCAGCAGCGTGTGCAACTCAGAGTCACCTACTGTCCACAGACAATGCACTTTTATTAGCAACCTACTGTTGCTGTGCCTTTGAGCAAGACCCACTGAGCGACATGAAATAAAAGAGTGTGTTTGCTGAGCTCAGTGGCTCTGACTCCTTCCTCTCCTCACAGAAAGAGGTTGTGGGTTTGATTCCCAGACCAGGTGACACACTAATTCTAT